GGGGTGTCACTGAGTGGAGGGGGCTAGGGGCAGAGTCTGCAGGGATCTGGGAGTTGGGCCTCCCCGGGTGCAGCCAGGGTGGGGTCTTTTCACTGTCATCTCCTCTACACGTGCCTCATAGATGCCGTTTATGGTGCTGTTCCCCAGCTCACGCATCAGCTGCCGAGGGTTGAGCCAGGCACCTGTCTGTCACGGCCCAGGCCCAACCCCCTACCTGTCCACCACAGGTAAAGGCCTGCCCCCAAACCCCACCGCAGGAACCTTGCACCTGTCGGTCACAGCTAAAGCCCCACCTCCTATTCCCTGTTCCACCCCATAGGACACTCATGCCTGTCAATCACAGTAAAAGCCTGCCTACACCCTCAGAGCCCTGCCCCACACCCCCTCTGAGCCTGCCTCAGAGGCCTGTCAGTCACAGATGGGTCCTGGCCCCCTCCCCAGGGCTCTGCCCCATACAACCCTGGCCCTGTCTGTGAAGCCAAGCCCTGAACTCACAGCTCCCCCCCATAGGACCCATGTGCCAACCCCGGAATCCTGCCCACATAGAACTCTCATACCTGTCAATCGCAGCCCAAGACCCCCACCCCCATAAGACAAACTTATCAATCACTGCCCCAAAAGCCCTGCCCATCCGCATAGCCCCACCCCCTTGGACCATCACACCTGTCAATCACAGCCCCCTAGCCCCTAGCCCCATAGCCCTGCCCCCATAGGACACACACCAGTCAATAACTGCCCAAAAACCTTGCCCCCATCCCTAGATCCCCACCCCCTAGGACCCTTAAAGCTATCAGTCACTGCTCCAGAGCCCAGGCCCCAGCCCCACCTTGTTACCTTGACTAGCTCAGGCTCCCAGGAGTCCAGCAGCAGGGACCGCACCTTGGAAAAGTGGACACCCAGGCTCCTGCAGGGTGGGAGAGGTGAGATGAGAGGGGACCCTCTAAAGCCTCCAATGGTCCCAGGGGTCTGTGTGGAGGGCCCCAAGACAGTGCTGGGGGGGCTATGT